AACATCATTGAAATAAGGTCAGGACTAGGTAACAATCTGTTTGCAAGTCAGGTGATGTCCAATTGTTTGCTTCCCTCATAATGGAAGGAGAATTCAATTGGGGTATCAGCTGACACATTAGCAACCATTTTATCAGCAGGTTATTGTCGTTTTTCAGGCTAACTCAGAAGGACTTTGAAGAATCGAGTGACATTTCTACAATGAAGCCCTTTCCATTCTCTTCTATTTATTAATGTAAACAGGATTTTTTAGTGTTTGCATCTACAAAAGTGAAAACTAGAATTAGAATTTGTGCAGAACCGACTTTCATTCCTTCAATAAATATTTATTCATCTCATTAAGAGATGGTTCCAACACATTATTACTTTTCGTATTAAATGATTATTTGTTGGCCAGGCACGGTGGCTCACGCCTGTAATCCCAGCACTTTGGGAGGCCAAGGTGGGCGGACCACTGGAGGTCAGGAGCTCTAGACCAGCCCAGTCAACATGGCGAAACCCCATCTCTACTAAAAATACAAAAATTAACCGGGCGTGGTGGCGCATGCCTGTAATCCCGGCTACTCAGGAGGCTGAGGCAGGGAACCTGAAAGGCGGAAATTGAACCCAGGAGGCAGAGGTTGCAGTGAGCCGAGATTGCGCCACTGCACTCTAGCCTGGGTGACAGAGCAAGACTGTCACCTCCCAAAGACCACACCTCCTAAAACCATCGCCTTGGGTGTTCGTATTTCAGCATATTAATTTGGGGGTGCACACATTCAGCCAATAGCAGGTACGCTGGTTGACCACACTCTTTTAAAGAGGACAGCCAAAAAGAATTATTTGGCAAAGTGTTTTATTTACATTGTGTTGTTTACATTGTTTGACCAGTTAGGTTTCATTGGAATGATAAACCAGAAGTCTCTTTTTAAACACTTGGAGTTGAGGAACACACAACTGCAGGGCTGATGGGGTGATCAGAACAGGACGTGGAAGCACCAAATATGCTACGTTAGGATGGAATTCCGAAGAGGGGGGACTGGAAATATGAGTGAAAGTTCCACGTGGTAAAAAAGAGCATGTTCCTGCAATCCTGTAAATAATAGATGGCGATGAGTATCACATTACTGCGTAGATTCCATGGGATACTGACAATAGACTCCCAGAGTTTTAGTTTTACATGTCAATATTTAGAATACACTGCACAATATATTATTTACAACCATTTCAACTACCGATGAAAACCTTCAGTGACAGTTTTAAAATGGGAAGGGAACGCTGTCTGAGTCCAGTGTGTTGCTGTGACAAAGTTCCATAGGAGACAGGGTGGCTTATCAGCAACAGACATTTATTTTGAACCGTTCTGGAGGCTGGAGGTCTGAGAGTAGCGGCCCGCAGATTGGTCAGCCGTGAGGACCTGCTTCTTGCTTCATAGATGCTGCCTTTCTCTGCATCTGACGTGGTGGAGGAGGTACAGGAGCTCTCTAGGCACAAACTCCATTCATGAGGGCTCCACTGCCATGACCCAGTCACCTCCCAAAGACCCCACCTCCTCATACCATCACCTTGGGTGTTCGTACTCCAGCATATTAACTTGGGGGTGCACACATTCAGCTAATAGCAGGTACACTGGTTGACCACACTCTTAAAGGGTACAGCAGGTCAGGGGCAGTGGCTCACACCTGTAATCCCAGCACTTTGGGAGGCTGAGGCAGGTGAATTACCTGAGGTCAGGAGTTCGAGACCAGCCTGGCCAACATGGTGAAACCTCATCTCTACCAAAAATACAAAAAATTAGCCAGGTAGGGTGGCGGGCATCTGTAATCCCAGCTACTCAGGAGGCTGAGGCAAGAGAATCACTTGAACCCAAGAGGTGGAGGTAGGAGTGAGCTGAGATTGCACCACTGCACTCCAGCCTGGGCAACAAGAGTGAAATTCCATCTCAAAAGAAAAAATAGCCGGGCATGGTGGCTCACACCTGTAATCCCAGCACTTTGGGAGGCCGAGGCAGGCAGATCACCTGAGGTCGGGAGTTCGAGACCAGCCTGACTTATATGGAGAAACCCAATCTACTAAAAATGCAAAATTAGCTGGGCATGGTGGCGCATGCTTGTAATCCCAGCTACTCCGGAGGCTGAGGCAGGAGAATCGCTAGAACCTGGAAGGCGGAGGTTGCAGTGAGCCGATGTCACACCATTGCACTCCAGCCTGTGTGACAAGAGCAAAACTCTGTCTCAAAAAACAAATAAATAAATAATACATGCATACATACATACAGACGTAAAGGGTACAGCAAACCAATCTGGTTGGAAACTGCTGGACTTTGGGGCTAGATGGTGCATGGGCTTAAAGTGAAACCTACGTTTGCGTTTTGGCTCTAACACAGACTAGCTGTGTGCCTGGGTGAGTGATTCAGTTTCCCTGGGGGACGGTCACGCGTGTGTGAAATGGCAGTGGTAGCCCTGAGACAGCAGCATGGGTAAGCAGGCTGGCAATGTCATCTGCAAGGAGGTATAATTAGGAGCACCAGCTCTGGGGCCAGACTTGGCTTGAGTAACTTGCCCACGCACTGTAGCTGGAAAGTGGATTTGGATCCCAGCTCCCCGCTCTGTCACCTTGCGCAGGCTGCTTAACCTCTCTGTGCCTCTATTTCCCTCCCTGTGAAACGGAGCTGGTAAGGGTGCCCTTTGTGGTAGGCAGGAGGATGGAGTCTGTGCCTGTACAGCTCCCCTGCCTCCACTGCACCCACCAGACGCCAGCTCTCCTTACTCCTCTGTACCACTCCTGACCCTCTCCTCCCTGGACCCAGGAGCCCCAGAGCTCTGTGGCAATGCTGTTGTTAAGAGCCTCTCCTGGCTGCTACAGTGTTCCTTCCCCCAGCCTCCCCTAGGCCGTGGTCCTGCCCAGGAAATGCAACCTGGGACTGTTGCCAGGCACTCAGGCCCCCCACGCGGAGGCTGTTGAGGAAGTGGTGCTAGAAATCAGCTTATGACTCGTACGGAGTGATGTCATGCAAAATTTTCCATAGCTCTGGCAGCCACAGGGGCCATCCTCCTGCCACTCCGAGGGCACTTCTGCTGAACTGTGCTTTTCCCTGCCCTGAGCATGTCAGAAAAGGCAGGTGGGTGCTGGGACTGCTCTGTGGCCAAGTTCTGATCAGAGGCTGCCAACCCCGGAACCCCACCTGTCCTACTTGAGAAGTTGAACTCTGACCCCTGTCCCTGTCCCCAGTGTGATAACTTCCTTTGTTCTTAGGTGGTTTCCTGAGGATGTGTCTGGGGAGATGTGATGGGGTCAACCCCCCACCCTGCTGGGACCCCTACCCCATGGCATATCAGCAGGCCCGTGGGAGCCCTGAGCCGCTCATTAAAGGAACACACTTTAATGACAACCACACGCCACCCTGCCACAAGCAGCACTCTTCTCCCTTTGAAGTGTGATGAGGAAATTGGGGTGAGGGGCTGGTGGAATTGGTTGTTTTGGGGTCCCTTCCCAGAGTGTGGAGAGATCTGAACCATCTCCAGACCATGGCTCTAGATAGAGGCCCCTGATCGTTCGCAGAAGATCTCGCTGGGTGGATCCTTTAAACCTCAGCGGGGTGGGAAGAGTGTCCTTGGGACTAGAGCCCTGCCAGCCCCCAAAGGCCAGTTTCTACCTGATGATCTCTTGGGCCCTGTCCCGAGAGTAGGGCACGGCGCTGCCAGGCACCCCCAGTACATAGCGTGTTGTGAAGTGCCCTTGTGAGCAGTGGGGGACAGGGAACAGAAAACCAGCCGTCAGCGACAGCGAAGTGGTGCCCCAGAGAGGGCTGCCTCATTCTCCTGGCTGCAGGGTCCGAGGTGGTCTTGGTAGCATTTGGCAGGAATTTATTTAGGAAGCATCCAGCAAACCACGTGTGTGCGGTGCCGGGAGACGATGATAAAATGGTCCTGCCCCAAGGAAGTCCCTCCCCTGGGGGTACAGGGTGGGAAGGAGGTCATGAGCTTTGTGTGACCACTGCTGATGGGAATGCTATTGGCATGTACAAGGGGTGCCTGTCCGTGTCTTGGGAGAGCAAGGAAGGCTTCCTGGAGGAGTTGCTGCCAACTTGGCCCAGAAGGATGAGGAGGAGTTCTTCTGGTGAAGCGGGGAGGGAAGAGGCAGGATGGTCCCCACGGAGCATGTAGGGACACTCATGCTGTTCCAGAGGATGGAATGCTGGGCCCGAAGCCCGAAGTACTGTGAGGGCAGAGACAGGCAGGAGGTACGTGGAGAAGGGGTCATGGAGGTCTTGTTGGGCAGATGGTGGTGGGACGTCCCAGGCAGGGGGAGTATCTTGGGCAAGAGCCCAGGGTGTGAGGTCATGCTTATGGCACATTGGACCAGCTGGAGGACAGCCAGCTCAGGAGAGCAGCCGGCCAGGGTGTCCGCCCACATGTGGGGCAGCGGCAGGCTGCAGTGGGGAGGGCCTTGGGAGCTTCTGTTGCAGTCCTGCAGGGAATGGGAGCTGTGCAGGAAGGAAGGGCGGAGCGGCTGTGATCTGATGGCTTTGGGAAGGCCACTCCTCTGACGGAGTAGGGGAAGACAGACCCCAGGCCAGGGGTCCTGAGTCAAGGCAGTGGCTGAGGAGGCACTGGGGAAGGTGATTTGGAGAGGCTTCGGGGGCAGGTCCTGGGGGTCTGGAAGGGCTCCAGGCCAGGAATGTTCAGACTCCTGGGGGCATCAGAATCACCTGGAGGGCTTGTTAAAGCAAAGCTTGCCCCAGCCCCAGGCAGCTGGGCAGCAGGAATCTGCATTTCTAATAGGCTCCCAGGAGATGCTGAGCCGCTGGCCAGGGTCCCATACTTTGAGAAGTCCTGCCCAAGGCTTACGGGACAGGGCAGGTTCTTGAGCCATTGAGTTGAGCAGTGCCGTGGGAAGTCGCAGGTGCACAGACGTTGCCTTCCTGGCTGCGGTTGAACCTGGGCTCCGTTTGTCCCCTCGGAGCTCCAGGCGGCCAGACTGGCTGCAACCCTGAGCTCTCCTGTCTGATTTCCTTTCCAGGTGGCACGTCTCTGAGCTTCCTGGTGTTGGTGACAGGCTGCACATCTGTGGGCAGAATTCCAGATGCTGAAATCTACAAAATCACCGCCACCGACTTTTACCCTCTTCAGGAAGAGGCCAAGGAGGAGGAACGCCTCATAGCTCTGAAGAAAATCCTCAGCTCAGGGGTGTTCTATTTCTCGTGGCCCAACGATGGTTCTCACTTTGACTTGACTGTCCGCACGCAGAAGCAGGGGGACGACAGCTCTGAGTGGGGGAACTCCTTCTTCTGGTGAGGCCCTGGGTCCCCTGCAGAGGGTGGGCCCTGGTTGGCACCTGAGGCCTTGACCTCCACTTGCACCACCCCCGGGTTATGGGGCACCCCTGGAGAGTTAGGACCCAGGCCTGCTCTCAGCACAGTGAGAGGAAAGCTAACGCTGAACTCACTACCACCCCGACCCCTGGCGTCAGGGAATGTGTTCAATGTAGATTTGGAAAAGAAACCTGGTCCAGGCATGGTGGCTCATGCCTGTAATCCCAGCACTTTGGGAGGCCGAGGCAGGTGGATCACTTGAGGTAAGGAGTTTGAGACAAGTCTGGCCCACATGGCGAAACCCCATCTCTACTAAAAATAAAAAAAAATAAATGAGCTGGGCGTCGTGGCAGGTGCCTGTAATCCCAGCTACTCGGGAGGCTGAGGCAGGAGAATCGCTTAAACCCAGGAAGCGGAGGTTGCGGTGAGCCAAGATGGTGCTACTACACTCCACCCTGGGCGACAGAGCAAGATTCTTTCTCAAAAAAACAAAAGAAACAAACAAAAGAAACCCTGTTCCATAAGTAAAAAATCTAAGAGCCGACGTCTGCCGAGTGCTTCCTCAGTCCCGGCACCGAGCTCTGTGCTTCTGCCTGGATTCACTCAGTCTTCTCAATTATGGTTACCTCCAGTGTGTAGCTGTTTACAGCTGATGTTTATAAAGCACTGTGTTCGGGTCACCATGCTAAGATCTCTCTGCTGGTAATAACTCATCCTTACAATAAAAACCTTTATAATAATTATACAGAGGCTCTGTTACCCCATTTTACAGATAGAGAGACTGAGGCATGAATAGTCGAGGGAATTTTGCCAAACTCCACACACTTAGTAAGTGGCAGAGCCAGGATTTGAACCCAGGCATTCTGGCTCCTGGTCCCAAGCTGGTAATCACAACGCTAAACCAATCCCGTCAACGGGAAAGCTGAGTCACCCTGCCCAAGGGGACTTGTAGCAATGCACTAAGACTAGTCCCGGAGCCCAGGTGAAGGCAGCTGGATTTCTGTATATTTAAGATCTCCTGGTGCTTTTCACTCCACAGCAGGACAGAGACAAGAGTGGGACAACCCTGTAAATATGTAAATTATCTGTTGCCCTTTCTGGACATAATGCTGTTTCCGTCAGTTTGCACTGATGCCTAGAGATGCTAGGAAGAAGCAAAAGTGAGGAAAGTCCTGCCGTGGGAGCGGTTCCAATGAACCTCATTTAATGTAATGTTTTAGAATCCAGTGTCTGCCTTTTGAAGCTATATCAGTTTTCCCAGCTCTGAGGCAGGACTTACGAGGTTTACTTCTGACCTGTTTGTGCCTCTCTCCCTTTGCCAGAGGCATCCATAGGTTTTCATCTGGCTTTGGTGCTTTGGATGCCACACAAGTGAATTCCTGACTTCTGGGAGAAGGGGACCCTCCCCACATCCCTGTGTCCATCCCAACACTCCCCACCCCCACATCCTCTTTGGTTCTCTGGTATTGTGGATATTTGGCACCAGTAATGTGCTCAGACTTCAAAATGAATGTGAATCAAGGCTGGGCGTGGTAGCTCACACCTGCAGTCCCAGCACTTTGGGAGGCCGAGGCAGGCGGATCACCTGAGGTCAGCAGTTTGAGACCAGCCTGGCCAACATGGTGAAACCCCATCTCTACTAAAGATACAAAAAAATTAGCCGGGCGTGGTGGTACACGCCTGTAATCCCAGCTACTCGGGAGGCTGAGGCAGGAGAATCGCTTGAACCCAGGAGGCTGAGATTGCAGTGAGCCGAGATCATGCCATTGCACTCCAGCCTGGGCTACAGGGTAAGACTCCACTCAAAATAAATAAATAAACACTCCAGCTTGGGCTGGAGGGCTACAGGGCAAGACTCCATTTCAAAATAAATAAAATAAAATAAATAATAAAATCGTGAATCTCCTGCTGATCTCGTTAAAAATGCAGATTCTGGGACCGCAGGTCTGGGCTGGGCCTAGGATGCTGCATTTCTAGTAAGCTTCCAGTGCTGCTTGTCTGCAGACCGCAGGTTGATTAGCAGCCTCCGGGGTGGCATTTCTGTGAATCGCTAGTTCCATTGTGCAGGGCCAAGCATGTGCCCCAGAACTGTTACATGTTCCCCTAAAGGTGGCCAAGCTTAGGCACAGAGGGGCTGTGTATTATGAGGTATCTTTTTGTGGACGCCATGAACCTATTTTAAACCAGAACTGTCAGGTGAGCAGAGGTGAGAGCTCTCAGCAGCAGTGAGGGTCCTTGGAACCCCAAGGGGATCCGTGGCGGATCTGAATTGCACCAGCACCTTTGCAAATTCTCTTCCCTTTGCCAGCTCTGGCTGGAGGTGTGAGGGGTGCTAACAAAGGGAGGCAAAGGGGATTCACGAGGTGGGGGCTGAGAGGAGCTTGGGAAGGAGGAGCCCCATGGTGTCCCTTTCTGAAGGGAGAGGAGGAAGTCGCCAGCCTCCTCAGCTGTAACACGCTGGGGCGTGGTGTTTGGGCTCAGGGTGGAGCCCCCAGAACTGACCACAACTGAGTCACCACAGGCAGCGTGGTCCTGGGCTTGATCGCCTAAACCCCCACTGTTGTGGCGCAGTGTCTGAGGTCTGGAGACCCACAGCAGGAGTCAGATGGGGTCAACGCTGAGTGTGGCTGGCACGTAAGGGAGAGTGAGCAGCAGGGTGAACTCATCTTTCTGGGCTGGTAATTGATCACACTGACAGTTGCCTCCCAGTACAATCAGGTCCTGGGAGGAAACTCTTTGCGGGTCCTGGATATGAGCCATCCTCCCGCCAGAGGGCCAGGCAGTGTCACTAGAAACAGGGCTGATTTAAGGGTTGTCCCCTGGGCAAAAGGTTTCTTCTCCTGAGCCCTGGTGACAGTGGCCATAGCTGTGTAGGTGGCAGACTCTGGAATATTCTGGAGGCTTTGCCTTGATGCCACATGCAGATTTAATATATGTGTTTCAGAAGCTGGCTTATCATCTAAATTTGAGAGGGTGATTTGGAAGAGGGACATACGGTTTTGTACAGCAATGCTTCCTAATCATCTTTTTTCAAGCAGAGGAGCGCTGTGGCCGTGCGACCTCAGAAGGGGTCAGACGCGGGCTGTGCTCCCTGTAGGGATGCATGTGGCTTTGGTCACAGTTGGGGAGGCTGACCTGAGAGCAGGAAGCTTGGAGAAGCCCCCTAGGACCCATCAGAGCTCACAGCACAGATTTCCAGCAATGAGAAAATGCTGCTGCTGTCTTTGAGGAAGGCTCAAGGGCAGGAATCGTGTTGCCTTTTTTAAACAAGTAGGCCACTGTGATCTAGATTCACTCAGTGCCCTGTAAGACGGCATCTCCTGGAGATGGGTCCCCCTCCCTGGGAGGGAGTATGAGCCCTCAGAATGGTACCACTCAGGTCCCCTGGGTGCTGGAGCAAGGGGGCCAAGCCAGTCTCGGGTATGAGAGAACAATGTGGCCGCTTTCCAGTGCAAATGGTAACGTAGGGCTCCATCAGGGAAGGCTCAGGGTGAAGAACACGGGCTCCAAGCTCCATGACGCCACTGGCTGGCTTTGTGGCCTTAGACAAGCACTTCACTTCTCTGTGCCTCAGCTTCTTTATCTGTAAAAGGGGGTCACTGATGATACCTTTCACACAGGGTCACTTCAAGGGTGACATGAGTTAATCCACCCCAAAGTACATAGAATGGGACTTAGTGCACAGGATAAATGTCGGCTGTCACCCTGTCATTATCATCATGGACTCCAAAGCCTAGAACAATCCACTAGGCATGGAGAGGGAATGCTTGAACTTTCATTACATTTTATTTTCCTCGGATCTTTTTAAAATTTATTTTGGATTGCTTTGTAGTGCTCCCGTCATATTCATCTCACGGTACGTGTGTGTATATATGGATAATTTAACTGTTCCCACATTTAATGCGATTTTAATCACTTATTTATCATGATTTAATAACAAAAGATGATTAATGTTTTACCGATGGGGCCTGCGATGAAAACTGTAGGGCCGACGGTGCTAACCAGAGGCCCCTTTGTGATTCCCCGAAAAGTGCACCCTGGCTCTCTCTCCAACTTTGCTTCCATTTAGCGACAGTGACGACCTGATAGTAGCTTTGGGAAAGGACTCCCTGGCCATCCTCCTGTACATGACACAGTGGTCCTGCTATTTGAGATCTCTTTGAAGCACATGAGCTTCCCAGATCTGTACAGCCGAAGTTCAGAGTCCACTGGGGAGCAGCATGCATTTGCTGACCCAGAATGCTGCACCGTGCGCCCCCCAGTTCCTCAGCCACACTCGCTGTCCAGGCAGCATGTACTGGAGGATGTCAGGTGACCGGAATTGGTGTGGGGCTGTGTTTTGCAGGAACCAGCTGTTGCACGTGCCCTTGAGGCAGCACCAGGTGAGCTGCTGTGACTGGCTGCTAAAGACCATCTGCGGAGTGGTGACCATTCGCACCGTGTACGCCTCCCACAAGCAGGCCAAGGCCTGCCTCATCTCTCGTGTTAGCTGCGAACGCACAGGCGCTCGCTTCCACACCCGTGGCATCAACGACGATGGCCATGTGTCCAACTTCGTGGAGACAGAGCAGGTGAGTGCCCAGGCCCATCTGTGGCACCAGATGGTTCAGAGTGGCTGCAGCTCTTGCACGGCGCTTTCCACTTAGGGCAGAAGAGGCCCTGGCGTATTTGCAGTGGTCTCTGATCAGGCTCCCTCCTATAAGTAGAGAACAACACGTGTAATTGGGCTCTGCATGAAAATGTGACCTCTGGTTTGCATGATGTATCCTTTCTGATTCACATCTCATGCTGGGAATATGCTGCTTAGCCAAGGTATTTTTAACAAAAAGGAACCGGGAATTTTTGGCATGGTCATGAAAGGTGGGCAGTTATTCCAAGGGCAGCTGACAGATGAACCAATTGGGTTTGAAAATTCTTTTAGGACACAAATAAGTAGATCAATACAATGGGAGATGAAAGAAGAAACCATTATTTTTTATTCTAAATCAACTGAAGCTTCTCCTGGAAGCCAGTATTAGCACCCTAGAGTTGTGAAATCTGCGTGTTAAGCAGCCGCTCCCATCCGCTCCCCTAGAATATAGCCATCTGCTTAGTTTCTCCTGAAGTTTTTTCTAAATTCTGTTCTCATTCCCAGAGATGCTGTCTTACAACTTTTTAATTTTTGCTCTAACTTGCAATCTGTAAGATAAGGCCACCATGTGGAATACCAGTGGCGTAAGCCGTAAGAAAGGAAAGCCCTGGAAGGCACATGTACAATACTCCTGCCAGGGCAAGCTCAGTGCCCTGTGTTTACTGAGTGAAGGTGTGGCTTTGCGTCCCTTCTCACTGCCGCTGCTGTGAGAGGAATGCCTTATGCGGACTTTGGCCACTTTAATCCAGCATAGGTTTGAGCACCTGCCTTTACTATGTGGGACTTTCTGCCTGCTCCAGTGTTCAGAGGGGTGGGTATGGAGATGGGAGGAGGCTCCTCTCAGAGTCCTCACTCGGAGGAACATCGGAGCAGGGGCCCTAACATGGGCAGCAGCTGCAATTCTGCTCATAATGTCTGCAATGTGGATATCAACGAGGCTGTTACATAAATATCTGGTTAAAAATGAGATTGCTTTTGGCATCTTCATCACGAAGTCTTTGACTGTTCCTATGTCTAGAATGGTATTGCCTAGGTCGTCTTCCAGGGTTTTTATAGTTTTGGGTTTTACATTCAAGTCTTTAACCCACCTTGACTTGATTTTTGTATATGGTATAAGGAAGGGGTCCAGTTTCAGTCTTCCAAATATGGCTAGCCAGTTATCCAAGCACGATTTATTGAATAAGGAATCCTTTCCCCATTGCTTGTTTTTGTCAGGTTGGTTGAAGATCAGATAGTTGTAGGTGTACGGCCTTATTTCTGGGTTGTCTGTTCTGTTTCATTGGTCTATGTATCTGTTTTTGTACCAGTACCATGCTGCTTTGGTTACTATAGCCCTGTAGTATATTTTGAAGTCAGGAGGTGTGATGCCTCCAGCTTTGTTCTTTTTGCTTAGGATTGTCTTGGCTATTTGGGCTCTTTTTTGGTTCCATATGAATTTTAAAATAGTTTTTTCTAGTTCTATGAAGAATATCACTGGTAGTTTAATAGGAATAGCTTTGAATCCATAAATTGCTTTGGGCATTATGGCCATTTTAATTATATTGATTCTTCTTATCCACGAGCACGGAATGTGTTTTCATTTGTGTCATCTCCAATTTCTTTGAGCAGTGTTTTGTAATTCTCATTATAGAGATCTTTCACCTCCCTCATCAGCTGTATTGCTAGGTATTTTATTCTTCTCATGGCAATTGTGAATGGGATTGTGTTCCTGATTTGGCTCTCTTCTTGATTGTTGTTGGTGTACTGATTTTGTATCCTGAGACTTTGCTGAAGCTGTTTATCAGGTTAAGGAGCTTTTGGGCTGAGACTATGGTGTTTTCTAGATAAAGAATCATGTCTGCAAACAGGGATAGTTTGGTTCCTCTCTTCCTATTGTGATACCCTTTATTTCTTTCTCTTGCCTGATTGCCCTGGTCAAAACTTCTACTACTATTAATATGTTAAATAGGAGCGGTGAGAGAGGGCATCCTTGTCCTGTGCTGGTTTTCAGCTTTTGCCCATTCAGTATGATGTTGGCTGTGGGTCTGTCATAGATGGCTCTTATTATTTTGAGGATTGTGGATCTAATCAAACTAAAGAGCTTCTGCACAGCTGAAGAAACTATCAACAGAGTGAACAGACAACCTACAGAAAGGGAGAACATTTTTGCAAACTATGCATCTGACAAAGGTCTAACACCCAGCATCTATAAGGAACTTAAACAAATTACCAAGAAAAAAAAACATTAAAAACTGGGCAAAGGACATAAACAGACACTTTGCAAAAGAAGGCACACATGCGGCCAGCAATCATGGAAAAAAGCTTAACATCACTGATCATTGGAGAAATGAGAATCAAAACCACAATGAGATACCCCCTCACACAAGTCAAATGGCTATTATTTGACTTGTGTGAATATTATTTGACTTATGTGAAATGAGATACCTCCTCACACAATAATGCCTATTATTAAAAAGTCAGTAACAGATGCTGGCAAGGTTGCAGAGAAAAAGGAACGCTTACACACTGTTGGTGGGAGTGTAAATTAGTTCCACCATTGTGCAAAACAGTGTGGTGATTCCTCAGAGACGTGTTCACAATAGCAAAGACGTGGAATCAACCTGAATGTCCATCGGTGGTAGACTGGATAAAGAAAATGTGGTGCGTATACAGCATGGAATACTATGCAGTCATAAAAAAGAAATGAGATCATGTCCTTTGCAGCAACATGGATGGAGCTGGAGGCCATTACCCTAAGCAAACTAAGGCAGGAGCAGAAAACCAAACACCACACGTTCTCACAAGTGGGAGCTAAATGATGAGAACACACGGATACAAAGAGGGGAACAACACACACTGGGGCCTATCAGCGGGTGGAGGATGGCGGGTGGGAGGAGGGAAAGGATCAGGAAAAATAACTAATGGGTGCTACTAGGCTTAATACCTGGGTGACAAAATAACCTGTACAACAGACCCACATGACATGAGTTTACCTGTGTAACAAACCTTCACATGTACCCCTGAACTTAAAATAAAAGTTAAATGTGTAAAAAGAGGAGAGAGAGAGAAGCTGTGGCCCAGCCGGGTGGTTTCCTCTTTTCTGGCTGATGTCTGCATGGAGAGAGTCCCTTCCCTGCCCCACTTCGTTACTACTTTCCTTTTATTTTTAACTTTTATTTAAAATACTGGTTTTGGATTTCAACCAGTATTTTAAGACTTGGGGTCTCATTTATTGCATCTCATCAAGTAAGTCCCTGGGAACCACTGTCCTTTAGCATCACTGTCCTTCCTAAAGCACTAGACATTCTAACACGGAAAATGAAAGCAAACTGCGTGAGTGTCCTGGGACTGCCCGTAATAAAGTACCCCAAACTGGGTGGCTGAAAACGCACACTTATTCTCTCCCAGTTCTGGAGGCTGGAAGTCTGCAGTCCAGGTGTCGGCAGGGCCGCTGTCTCTTCGAAGCCCCCCAGGGAGGACCCTTCCGAGCACTGCTCCCAGCTCCTGGTGGTCCCTGGCAAGCATCTCTCCATCTCTGCCTCCGTCTTCATGTGTCCTCCTCTGCCTGTGTCTCTCCAGGACTCCAGTTATACTGGATCAGGGACCCACCCTACTCCAGCTGTCCTCATCTTAACCCGTTACTTCTGCAAAAACCCTATTTCCAAACAAGCTCTGAAGTACTAGAGTTGGGACTTCACCATATGGGTTTTGGAAGGGGCACAGCTCACCCTGGGATGCGGATGCCAGCTCCTGTTAGAGGACTGTGCTTTATAGGCAGCGCCTAGTGGCCCGGTGAGAACTCTCGCTGCCATCTTTGCTTTCTCACTTTTATAGACCAGCAAGCCCTGCCACAGACCAGGGTGGGCCTTGGCTCCAGCCACGTCGTGTCGCGTGCCTGCTGACTGGCGTTTGTCTCCTGTGTTGCCAGCTTGCTTGTTAGAGCTCAGAGGCAGGGATCTTGCCCCCACATCTCCTGAATCTCCCACCTCGGGTGGCCTGGCAAGGCCGTAGAGATGTGAACAGCCTGCCCTTCCAGCTCCTGGGGTACAGCCCGATGCTGCTGACATTGCCTCCACCTCCCTTGTCGGGGCTGGGGAGGGATTTCTTGGCTCCCATAAGTCTTTGTGGGCTTCCTAGTGTGTGGTTTTTGTCCCTTTTCATCCTCTGGGCTAGACAGGGCTGCTGTCCATGAAGTCCCCACCCAACCTCATGCCCAGGAGCAGCAGTGATTGACAGACAGCTGGGCACCACCACCTGCCGCTCACCCATGGATGCAGCAGCTGCGGACGCTGCCCCTGCCCCACCTAGAGAGCATAACTTTACCCCAGTGACTTTGTTAACAAGAGACGCATAGCGGGGCCCTGGGAAGGTGGCCCTGCACCCACAGTAGCTCTTGGTTGGGTGCTTATGTTTCAGGCTGTGCTGATGAGCCTGGAGGTGCCCGGGCTGGCCCATCCATCGGAGACCCCGGACAGCCTGGCTACCCAGGAATGGGAGCCATCACTTCCCAGCGCTGAGTCCAGGGTTGTCCGCGTGGGCCTTCAGCAAAGCCTGACTGAGCCTGCCAGGTCCCAGGCTCTGCTCCTGGGCAGGTGGGCACGGGGAGGCAGTGGTGGTGTAACGGGGGCACAGCAGGAGTGGGACAGGTGAAGCTGGCCCTGGCAGGCGCTGCTGCCCTTCCTCCAGGTGGTACTTGTGATAGGTGGTGTTCAGCTAGTGACCCCTGCCTGGAGGGCGAGGGGAAGCACCGCAGAGCCAGGGCAGGAGAAGCGTGTGCTGCACGCAGCCCAGGCAGGAGGGGCATGGAGCAGAAAGAAACACAGGTGAACCGGAGGAGCAGAGAGGGTTCATGCTTCCTGCACACATGGGACCAGGACACGGGCCTGGTGGGGGGTGAGCATTCCTCCAAGCCAAACAACACAGGTGTGACAGCCCCTTTTCTAAAACATTATGGAGGCAGGAGGAGCAGAGATGGCTGCAGGGAAGTGACTGTTCCTCAAAAGCAAGAAACTCATGTTGCCTCACTTGTATATGCCAAGGGAACCCCTCGCTTTCTGTCTCTGGAGTCACTGAATATTTTTATGTCACTTGATAGCAGTACAGATGCTTAGGTTGATCTAAGTTCGTTTTTAAAACACAAAACACATCTTTAAGTGGAACGCACAGTTAATATGCTCCCGTGAAGTGGCAGCCCCGCGGCACTCCCTGGCTCCGCAGCCGCCTGCTGAGGACGGTTCTTCTAGGATGAGTTGGGAGAATGGAGCAAGGCTCGGCCTGCAGGTCCTCGCTGAGCTCAGGCAAGCAGCCCTGTGAGGATTGGGCTGCCTGGTCTGCAGGGGAATCTGCCTGGGACCCTGCTGAGATTCACCTATTTCAGATGCCAGTGATTTGCTGGGATTCTGGGGAGGTCCCTCGGGGAGCCTGGCACATCCTACCCCCTTGAGTTTGCAAAGTCACAGCTGAGGGCCTGTGTTGGGACCGTGTCATGAGCCCTCTATATGCATCTCGCAGCTTTGCTTATGGTACCGGAGCAGACTGTCTGATGCTTCTGAAGACCTTTACCATGCTCCTATGGACAGAGTCGGGTAGACTCATTCTGGTAGCACAGCGTGGCCTCCCCGTCCAACTGACAGCTGAGGAAGTGGCAGGCTTTGCGTCTCGGTGGCCTCGCCCCAGGGTGCAGGGAGCAACTTTGAGGAAATGAGTGCTGAGCCTCCAGTAGGAAGGACTGTGCTGGGGAGGCAGGTCAGCCCCTTGTGGTGCCGCCCGCAGGTCACACTGGCCTAGGGCCCCTGCAGAGGAAACAGGATCCCCCAGCCGGGCCTGCTGGCCATTAGTGGAGCGTGCGCACAGCGATGCGGTCATCGTCTGGCAAACAAATGGTAGGACCGGACCGGGAGCAGACTGGCTCCCTGTGGTGGAGATTCTTGGCAGGTGGATCAGCTTCTCAGGAATTAATTCTCAGGGAGCCAGAAAAGGGGGGCCCTGTGGCACCCTCCGCTTTTGCTTTGGTTTAACATGTTTCTTAGGAGGAATAAATAATTAATCTTCCTTCCCCAAGGCAGGCTGTGTGTGTGTGTGCGCGGGTTGTATGTGCACAGTGTGTGCATGGTATGTGCATTTATGTGTTGTACATGTTGTATGTGTCATGTGCGTTTGTGTAGGCATGTGTGTGGCGTGTGTGCCGTGTGTTTGTCATGTGTATGTGTGCAGTGTGTGCATTTGTATGTTGTATACACATGTATGTGGGTGGTGCATGTGTTGTGTGTGTGCACGCACACATGTTGTGTGCATGTGTAGATAGCATCTCAGCCTCCTTGGGAGGAAGCCTTGAGTCTTTTTGGCTCTGCTGAGTCATAGCTGGTGGGCTTGCTCTGCAGTGCTGACTCACCACACAGAAAAACAAGACAAAAAGTCCCCTCAGTCTATTAAAAAAAAAAAGATGTAAGATAAATATTTGGCTCTTCAAGATAAGGCCACTGACTCATTCAGGGAGGTTAGGATGACTGCGTGTCCTCCCAGGAATGCAGACTTGGAGATAATTGGTTTGTAGACACTGTATCCGGAAGTAGAAGGTCAGCAGAAAGCCTTTCAGATAGAAGGTATATGCACACCTGTGAGTTTTCCTGCCTCGTCCCTCTCTTTTTATGGGCATTAGGTTTCTGTTCCCACTGCTCTGGAAGCGTCACTCAGGGTCGCCCTCCGGCTGCTCAGTCTGGGATCTAGGCACTGGCCTGGCCTCATCACAGCACTGGCATGGGCCTCCGTCTTTTCCTTACGTGGCCCCACTGCTCTTCCTGGTCTCCCTCCCACGTCTTGTCTGTTCCTTCTTGTATCCCTCCTTCCTCCCAGGGCCCAAACTCTCTCCGACGCCAGCAGGTGCCCTTGTGCATACTCATAGCGTCAGTGCCTCTGGGGAAGAGAAAACAGCTTTGTTTTTGAGTGGCTACTCTGCTGGGACTACACCCCCTCACTTACTCCTCAGAGCTCATCCCTTCTCTGTGCTCAAGGTGACATGAACTTCCTGTAGAGAGAGGGAAACCAAGGCTGAGGATGGCTAAGTAATGTGCCCAGGGCCACCCTGCTGGGCAAATGGGAGTTTGCAAAGTGGCAGTCAGACCCAACTTGTGCTAATACCAGAGCCCACTTTCTCTCCTGCTTCCACTCTCTGTCCTGCCTCCCCACCCCAAGAGCCCTCTGTCAAAATGGCATCTGTGAGGTGAGACATCACTTCTTCACTGGTGTTAAAAGTTGTTCACCCAGAATGGAAACGGATCACCTGCATTTGACGGTCTAGTTATGCCCATCGCCTTGGGAACAAAGAAGGCAGTCCTGGTGATAGGATGGGGTGCAGATGTCGCCTGCTTCCCTGTGGAGGACGGGATGGAAAACTTTCTTCTTGCTCCAGTGTGGGCAGGGAGGGGCATACAGAGCACTGATGACCCTCGGTGTTTTCAGAAGCTGGTTCTGGGCAATTCTCAGCTTGGGAGGAGTGTGGTATGATGCTGGAAGTGGCATTGTTAGCACATGGCAGTCAGAGTGAAGGGAGACATTCCTCAGCGTAAATAGATCGTGGGCATTGGTTTTTGTTGTTGTTTGGTGGTTTTTGGATCTCGCTCTCTTGCCCCAGCTGAAGTGCAGTGGTGCAGTCATAGCTCACTGCAGCCTTGTCCTCCTGGTCTCAAGTGATCTTGCCTCAGTCTCCTGAGTAGCTGGGACTACAGGCATATTCCACCATACCCAGCTAACTTTTTAAAAATTGTTTTTGTAGAGATGGGGGTCTCACTTTATTACCTAGGCTGGTCTTGAACTTTTGGGCTCAAGCCAGCCTCCCACCTTGGCCTCCCAAAGTGGTGGGAGTATAGGCGTAAGCCACCGTGCCCGGCCTGGATATTGTTAAACATTGTCTTTACATACAAATGTTGGCCTAGTTGGTTTCTTTTCCAGGAACCTGGGCCTCTGCAGGGCACACACGTCAGTCAATTGTGTATACCTAATTTCATGGTAGCCAACTATGTCTGCAGCCGTTCAAGCAACCTGCTATTTTATTCTGTTTTGTTAGTAGAAGAATGGAGTATAACAACTTTGCTGGTACTCAATACCTGGAAACAGACAGCAAGTTCTTAACGCACGCTTTTTCCCTTTGGAGATTAAAGGATAGAATTCTAGTTTGACAACGTAGATACCAGGCTCCTGTTATTCCTGTGGTCCAGGGAAACAGTGGCTCTAATTTTCAGGTCCTCCACTGCAGAATGACTCATTCCTGCGTGATCTGAGCGTGATCTTGCCCGTATGGAAAGCTACCCTGTAAGGGAGCAGGGCGGTGAGGAAAGGCAAGGACCACAGCAGCGCCCGGGCCACCCTGCCAGACCAGGCTAGAGTTGCACAGATAAAGGCCCCGCATCTGATAAGTGCCGCCGCCTGCCCCTGCTGGCGCTCAGGATCGTACTTCTTGTCCTTTTAAAACTCCCTTGCACTCCAGCGTCATTGGAGGCCTGCAGGCACACTCTGAAATAGCTGTATGTGTGGGTGGGGAGGAGATAGATGTCTTAAAGTGTAAGGATCATTTCTTTCTCCACAGGTGCTGTCACACTGGAAGCTTGTGGAAACCGTGTTGTGTGTGTTAACCGAGTGGTGTTTTAAGAACACAGTGGGGCAGGGCCAGGACCAAGTATGAGGTCAAGTTGAGTCTTGTATTGTCAAGTACAAGACCGGCTAGCACAGTCAGCGAGGTCTTTTGGCTATCACTGGTGCATTTTATTTCATTCAGTCCTTTTCTCATAGCTCTCTGCTGCTTAGCTATTTGCCAAGGTAAAAATAGAGGGCTCTAAGGAAGGTTACATTCCAGAGCACATCGGCTTCTGTTCATACAGGGGGCGGCGGAGGGCTGTTGCTGAGATTTTCAGGTTGGTGATAAGGTTGTGCCCTAGAAGTGTGAATTCCCGGAGACCCTGGGAGGCCCCAACCCCCAGCAGACCCCCTCCTCAGAGGCTGGTCGACAGCCAGTATACCCACCCAGCACCTGGCCAGAGGTCAGGGCGCACTGCCAGCCATGTCGGGTGGGGGAGCAGAGGACGCCGGAGTCCACCGTCCGCCCTTCATTCTGGCTGGTGTCGGGTCACAGGCGGCCGGATCCCGTTACCCAGCCCAGGACATTCGGTTTCATTGAAGAATACCTTTCCCTTTCTGTTTCCTTGTGCCACAGACGATTTACATGGACGATGGAGTGTCATCTTTTGTCCAGATCAGAGGCTCCGTTCCACTGTTCTGGGAGCAGCCAGGGCTTCAGGTAGGTCATGAAAAAACTTAAATGTCCCCTTGTGATGTTGTCCGCCCTGCCCTTCCCTTCAACAGCTGGGGAAGATTTCTTTTAACATGTTCCTTTCATGGCATAGTTTCCAGTCTTTTTCCTTAGCCCTGTTGTGTTGAGCTGAGCTGTCAAAGTGTGCACACGTGTGTGTGTGTGCATGCGTGCATGTGTGTAGAAAACACAGACACCACTTTGTTGCTTCTGGTCGGCAAGGGTGCTGTGTGAAGCCGCTGACTCGGGAACGGTGCTGTGGTGCCTGCTGAGTGGGTGCCGCGAAGTGAGCTTGGGTAGCGCTGCCTGAGGTTAGACCCTGAGTTCGGTGTACTGAGGACATTTCTGAGAGCCGTGACTCTCATAAAGGGCTCCGGGAAGGCTCTGTGGCTGCGTAGGGCTGGCACTCGGTGCTGCCTGTTGTGGGGCCACGTGAGACTTCCACAGCTTTCCCGTGGTTTCTAAAAATAGCCCTTGCCGTCCAAAGCTGGGCTCTGGTCAGTGCCAGAGAGATCTGGCATTCTTTCTCCTGGGAAGAGCGCAGGGTGGGGATACATTCCAAGAACACATTTGTCATCAGTGGAATGGCATGCTGCCTCCTTCACCAGGGTCTCTAACAAGGTGGGTTGTGGGCCGAGTGGACTGGAGGGGCCTCCCCACTAATCCCCAGTCTTCCTCCCTGCCCCAAGGGGACATGGGTGCCTTCAGAAAGCCTCTCGGCCAGGGCCTTTGTGGCCTCTTGGCTCTTCTTACCGACAGCTCTCGTGTGACTGCATTTGGGTTGCCAGCTAGTGGCTAGCAGGGCCCAGAGTGCCATCTGCCAGGTTCCAGGGGTTGTTTGACAATGCTGGACTCAGGGTCCCCTGTCTTGTGTTCAGCTTCTTAGCCTCGCCCTTGACTTGACCCTGTGCCCGGAGCAGGTGAGTCACTTGTCCCCATGGCTGTCAGCACGGTGCGCTGACAGCATTGGTGAAGTTCTGGGTCAGCCTGGGCAGTGAGATGGATGAATGGAGGTCCCGTTTAGGCTCCGTGCTCTGGTAGGGGGAAAAGGCTTGATTAACATTCAGTCTTTCCACTAGAAAGAGCCCACCACAGTGCACGAGATAACTGACAGCCTCCAGAGAAATGCTCCTGAGGACAGCGGTGACACAGAAATTCCTCCGGAGGGCTTCCCAAAGGAGGTTTATGGAAAAACAGCTTTATTGCAATATAACTTACCCATTTAAAGCCTACAACTTGGTGTTTTTACTGCATTTACAGTGTTGTGTGACCACCACTGTAATCTAATCGTAGAACACTTTGATCACCGCTAAAAAACTTCGTCCCCATTAGCCGTCTCTCCCATCCCCTCCAAGTCTCCCTCAGGCCAACTCGCCTGTTCATCTGCTGTCTTTATCTATAGATTTCCCATTCCAGACATTCCAAAAGAGTTTTTGAAACCTGATTTTCTTTAAATATGGAGTTTTCCTTTAGAAACTTCTGGAGCTCTGTATTCAGGAGAATGAAAGAATTGATCGAATGAGTATGGCACGAAAAGGAGATAGGGAGACCGTCTGTCTTGTGTTTCATGTAAAGTTTGTAAGAAATCCAAAAATTAGGGCGATGGTCATGATGGACTCTTAGAATTTGGGAATGACCTTTTGGAATTCATCCATTCCACCCTTGTGACTCTCAGTTCAGCGTGCTCCTTTTTTTTTTTTTTTTTTTGAGATGGCGTCTCACTGTGTCGCCCAGGCTAGAGTGCAGTGGTGCAATCTCGGTTCACTGCAACATCCGCCTCCCGAGTTCAAGCCGTTCTCCTGCCTCAGCCTCCCGAATAGCTGGGACTACAGGTGCCCACCACCACACCCAGCTAATTTTGTTGTGTTTTTAGTAGAGATGGGGTTTCGCCGTGTTAGCCAGGCTGGTCTCGAATTCCTGACCTCAGGTGATCCACCTGCTTCAGCCTCCCGAAGTGCTGGGATTACAGGCGTGAGCCACCACACCTGGCCAGTTCAGGGATCCTTCTTCCAGGACCCCCAAAGGGCTGTCCTCCAGGCCACGACTGGGGATAATTCTGACTCTTGGTGAGTTCCTCCTGTATTGCACTGCTGCGTCTGTCCAACTCTAGAGTGTTTTGGGGTGTGCAGGAGTAAATCTGATTCTTCTCCGTATGACTCACCTTCAGCCCTTGGAGGGAGTCTTCTGGTTCCCTCTTCTTCTTGTCTTCTCTAAGGCCTCCCAACTCCTTTGGCCACCTTCTCTCCTGTTTCTAAGACTCTCAATGTTCTCATCTCCCTCATCTAAAAAATGACACTCCTTTTTTGTCGTTCCCCTCTGAGATTTCGTTTTGGTCTCCCCCTTGACCTTCGTGCTGCCTCAGATGTAGCCGGACCCGCCATGGGATGACTGTGCCTCGGTCTGTCAGGGGCCAGGAGCAGCGGACCCTGAGATCTCAGCTTTTTGGCAGCTGTTTCACCCTCTTAAATTCCTAACACTTGTGCTACACCAAAGCCTGCATGGTTTCTTCTTTTTGTTTTTGTTTTTGTTTTGTTTTTTGTTTTTGAGATGGAGTCTTGTTCTGTCACCCAGGCTGGAGTGCAGTGGTGCGATGTCAGCTCACTGCCACCTCTACCTCCTGGGTTCAAGTGATTCTCCTGCCTCAGCCTCACAAGCAGCTGGGGTTATAGGCACCCACCACCACGCCTGGCTAATATTTTTTGTATTTTTAGTAGAGACAGGGTTTCATCACATTGGCCAGGCTGGTTTTGAACTTCTGACCTCAAGTGATCTGCCCGCTTCGGCCTCCCAAAGTGTTAGGATTACAGGTGTGAGCCATTGTGCCCGGCCTCCGTGGTTTCTTCAAAACAAGTTTCAGAAGGCTTTAGTGTTCCTTAATCTTATTAAGGATTTGCTAACCTTTGGGCCTAATACCTGTGATTAGCCTCTAAACACCACTCATCATCAAAGAGAGATGAAGTCATCTTCAGAGAGGGCCAGGAGGGTGGCGGGAAGTGGTGGTCTACCATCACTGGCTTCAACTGTCACTATCAAGCCTAAGGCCGCTTCTGGTTATTTTTCTCCGCTTTGAACTGTTTCTCTTCCTTCTTCACTTAGGTTAGATGAAAAGTGCAAAGATTTTGGTGTGAGTAGCTTGCATATTAAGCCGCAATGCTGTCCCTTCTTGATGGCTGCCGTTGGAAACCCAGGAGCCTAGCAGGCTGGTGCAGGGGTGGGCAGAGGGTCGTGGATGAGGATCTGTCTGCATGTTTTCCCAGGAATGGTGCTTTCAGTATTTCCTGACTCCATTTCTAGCAGCCGTGTACCTTTAATAAATTTCATTTTTACTGTGTAAATGGGTTGTGCAGTTTATAAATAGCCACATTGAAATTTTACCCTTAAAGCGAATTGCTCCCTAGTCTAGCTAGTTCAAGAATCTATTTATGATCTGTGTCTGTGGTTGACAACTTTGCTCCCCTGGTCATTGTAGAAGCTTCCTCACCCTAATATGCCTGTACAGACACATGCCTTGCCAAGGTGAGTTCAGTCTGTCTTTTGAAGTTTCCTGAAACTGAACCAAATGGAGGAGGATGCTGAGTAGAGTAGACCTCTCTTGCCCTACCTTCGCCTCTTCCCTGCCAAGTTCATGGAGTTGTGGCACTGGATGGGCAAGTTTATGTGTTTGTACCTTTATTTGTTCCAAAAAGGACATGAGATGGCTTGTAGTATAATAGTTTAAAAAATAAGTGAAGAGGTCCGGATGAAGGGAGTTGAATTGGTGCCCACAGTGCGTGCCATGGGTCTCATGTGCGTGGGAAGGAACCTGACACTTGTTCCAAGCTTTCCCACAGCCACCACAGAAAGAACCACGGTCACAGCCAGTTTATGACAGTGACTCAGAGCACGAGCTTTGAAGCTCTGCAGACCTGGGCTCAAATTCAAACTCTGGCTCCTCCGCTTCGTAACCATGTGTATTTGAGAGGCTCCTGTCTGTGCCAAGCCTTAGTTTACTTTTCTGTAAAATGGGGCTAACAAGATCTCCCATATAGCGTTCTAGAGAGGATTAAAGAACATAGTATAAGAATTTGGCTGGGCGTGGAGGCTCACGCCTGTAGTTCCAGTAACTTGGGAGGCCGAGGTGGACGGATCACTTGAGGTCAGGAGTTTAAGATGAGCCTGGCCAACATGGTGAAATCCCGTCCCCACTAAAAATGCAAAAATTAGCCAGGCGTGGTGGTGGGTTCCTGTAATCCCAGTTATTCAGGAGGCTGAGGCAGGAGAATCACTTGAACCTGGGAGGCAGAGTTTGCAGTGAGCCAAGATCATGCCACCACACTCCAGGCTGGTCAACAGAGTGCGACTCTGTCCAAAAAAAAAAAAAAAATTAACACAGTATCTAGAACATAAAAAGTACTCAAAATGGCAGCTGCTATTGATACTAATAGAAACAAATGATAACACCCAGGAGATAAAACCACCCGTGGCATCCGGAGAAGCGTGGTTCTTGGTGTCCTGAGCACTGAATGAGTTTCCTCCTGTCTGCATGGGGACAGGGACACCGTGAGATGTAGTGACATGAAGACAGCTTCCTGGGGTATCTTATCTCTCATCCCTCACAGACTCATGGTAAATCAGTAACCCCAGATGAAGCCATTTATTCATCCCAAACATTCACTGAGCATCTGCCAGGTGTAGGGGGCACCAGGGATCAGATACAGTCCCTGCCTGCAGGGAGCAGGGGGCAGGACATGGCAGTGTTGTGTAGATAGAGCCATGCTGGAGGAAGGGAGAGGCCCCCGGGGCAGCTCTCCCAGGCTGAGGGTGTGGGGTGGGCTGCCCAAGGGCCCAAACTGGGGAGGGGTGAGGAAGAAGCACTCGGGCAAGGAAGGCAGCCCTTGCAGAGGGAACAGTGGGTGCAGGTGTTGTAACTCCTGATATCACAGTGATCAGGGAGTATCACTGGGTAACTTCTTGAAGTCCTGGGCATGAAGGGAATGGGAGGACAGATAGGAGAGGTGAGCAGGGCTGGGTCAAGGGCCTGTGGATGCTGCACTGAGGAGATTGCATCCCATACCAGCAGCTACTCAAGTAGTACTCCGCAACCTTGTTGCACAGAAGACTCCGCTGGGAAGCTTGAAAGATCCTGATACCCAGGTTGATACCATACACATTAAGTCACAATATCTGGGGCCAGGAGCCAGGCAGCTGTCCTTTTTGAAGACCCGTGGGTGACTCCAGTGTGTAGGAAAATATGGGAACCACTCGGTACTGTTCTGGCAAGCCAGTTTTATTGGGGTCACACTGGGTACAGGGAGCTTTGGTTTGTAGCATTTGTCCATTGCTGTGGTGTAAATTCTCCCATCATGGCCAGTTTCAACCTACCAGCTTTGCATTGCTGAGCTCAGAGTTGGACCAGCTCGGTGCACAGTCAGCTTGCAGGCCTGCGGGAGCTGGCTCCAGCACACACTGAACACTGTGCTAAAGGGCGGCAAGAGAGGTGGAGACATGATTAGACAGAAGTCTAGGAAGTGTTAGTTCGGAGGGGGATAGACGCCAGATGGGAGGCCGTTGAGCTGAGATTTTTGGGTAGCCTTAAGTTGGGGTGCAGGGGAGAGGCATGGAGGTGCTGTCTGCGATCTTTGGGCCTCTTGAGTTCTGATCGAGACTCTGCTGGGACTCCCTTAGCCAGGAGTTCTCCAGACCCTGACTATCCTCATGGCTGTCTCCCTTAACTCGTCTCTGGTCTATAGGATTGAACTAATGACTTTAGGGGCCAGATAAGAGTAGCTGGCCCTTTGCCCAGAGGGGAGAAGGATGGGGTGAAGAAGAAGGGAAGCTACAAAATGCAGTGACAGTGGTGGACCCTGCCCCCAGCTGCAGCTTCTGCCTGTGGCTTCTGACAGTCAGTAACCTCAGGACTAGGTGACACCAGAGAAGGTGGACGCTGGTCAGTGTCAGAGCGGGACAGAGGAGAGGAAGGATATGAGGCCCAAGAAACCCAGATGAAAGGGATGCATGGGGTGATGGGGGAAGGGTGAGCTCCGGACAGAACGTGAGGCCCAGCTCCCCCTCCACTTTTCAGGAGGCTGAGGCAGGAGAATGGTGTGAACCTGGGAGGCGGAGCTTGCAGTGAGCTGAGATCCGGCCACTGCACTCCAGCCTGGGCGACAGACTCCGTCTCAAAAAAAAAAAAAAAACCTGGCCAGGCCCAATGGCTCATGCCTTTATCTCAGTACTTTGAGAGGCCGAGGTGGGTGGATCACTTGAGCCTGGGAGTTCAAGACCAACTTGGGCAACATGGTGAAACCCCATCTCTACAAAAAACACACACACACACACACAAAATAGCCAGGTATTGTGGTGTGCACTTGTAGTCCCAGCTACTTGGGAGGCTGAGATGGGAGGATAATTTGAACCTGGGAGGTTGAGGCTGCAGTGAGCTGTGATTGTACCACTGCACTCCAGCCTAGGCAACAGAGTAAGACCCTGTCTCAAAGGAAAAAAAAGAAGAAGAAGAAAATCTCTAAATCTATTGAGGAATCTCTAAATCTATTGCTGAGAAACCAGTTCTCTAGATGGGTGCTTTTCTTGAGTCTGCAATGGGGCAGTTGTATCATCTGTAGTGGTGAGTTATAAAATGATATGTGAAGCATGATAATAGCTGTATCTCATAACACAGATAAACCTGATGGCACTGCTTTTACAACACTCAAACGGAAGCAAAACTAAAGAGTGCATTTTCACCAACTTATTCTTGAAATAATTTCAGAGCTACAGAAAAAGTTTAAGAACAAGAGGGAGCTCCCATATGTCCTTCACCCAGATTCACTCAATTTTAACCTTTTGCCACACACATGTTGTTATTTTTGAACCATTTGAGAGTAGGTTGCATATATCACGTCGGTGTTAGTCAATTTGCCTTGCTGTAAAGGAATATCTGAGGCTGGGTATTATCAAGGAAAGAGGTTTATTTGGTTCATGGTTCTGCAGGCTATACAGGAAGCATGGTGCCAGCATCTGCTTCTGGGGAGGGCCTCAGGAAGCTTACAGTCATGATGGAAGAGGAAGGGAAGCCAGTGTGTCATATGATGAGGGAGGGAGCAAGGAAAGGGAGGTTGCAGGCTCCTTTAAACAACCAGCTCTCCTGTGAACTAGCAAAAAACTCATTCGTTACCATGGGGTTGTCACCAAACCATTCATGAGGGATCTGCCCTTATGATCCAAACACCTCCCACCACACCCCACCTCCAACCCTGAAGGTCACGTTTTAACGTGAGATTTGGAAGGGACACACATCCAAACCATATCAGTGTCTCTTTACTTAAGTGCAAAATATACTGTCCTACATTACCATAGTATAGGTACACATTTGGGAAATTTAACATTGACGAAGTACTTCATTCTCATCTGCAGGCAATATTCCAAATTGATCACTTGTCTCAATGATGTCCTTTGAAGCACCTTTCCTCCCTTGAGTCCAGCATCACATACTGCATTTTATTGCCATGTCTCTAGTCTTTAATCTGCATCTGTTCCTTGGCTTTCTGTCTTTCAAAGCATTAATGTTTTTGGAGAATGCAAGCCTTCTTTTCCTTTAAATTGAGAGTTCCTACCTTTAGGTTTTCCTAGTGTTTCATTATAATCACATTCAGTGTATGGATCCCTGGCCAGCATACTGCCTACATGATGCTGTGTCCTTCTCAGGGTACCTGGTCTGGAGGCACACGGTGTCCATCTGCCCCTCATTAGTGATGTTAATTTTGGTCACCCAGTCAAGGTGCTATTCAGTTTCTCCACTTATGGTTAATATGTTTTCCCTTTCAACTAATCAGCAATCTATGGGAGACACTTTGAGACCGTGCTAGTATCATGCTTCTCATTAAACTTTCCCTTAAGATTTATCATCAACAGATAACTTTTGCTGAACAATTATTTACTATGACAGCTGTAAAATGATGATTTTTAAAAATTATTTCCTCCAAATTTATCACTTGGTGTTCTACTATAGAGCCCTCTCTTGTTCCCCATTCACCCACCTACACACCCACTCACCTGCACACTGATTCACCCATCTGTCACCCATTAACCCATCCATTCGTCCACCCATCCACCCATCATCCACCTATCTATCCACCCATCCACCTACTTGTCTACCCACCATCCACCCGTCCCTCTATCCAGCCAGTCATCCAGCCAGCCAGCCATCCAGTGACCCAGCCATCAATCCACCCAGCCATCCACCCATCCACCCATCCACCCACCCACTCACCCCCTTACCTATCCATCTTTCATCTGCCCATTCACTCACCCATCCATCCATCCTCACATTCACCTATCCATCCACCCAGCTATCTATCTACTGATGCGTCCACTCATCCATCCATCTACCCATCCATCCTCTTACCCACCTTTCTATCCATCCACTGATCCATCCATCCATCCCCATTCACCCATCCATGTATCCATTCAGTCACCCATCTATCCATCCATCCATCCATCCATCCATCCATCCATTCATCCATCCACCCAGTATCCATCCATTCAGCCATCCACCCATTCATCTATCCATCCATCTATCCATCCACTCACTCACCCACCTACCCATCCACTCAGCTATTCATCCATCCATCCATCCATCCATCCATCCATCCATCCATCCATCCATCCATTCATCCTCCCATTCATCCATCCACCCAGTATCCATCCATTCAGCCATCCACCCATCCATCCATCCATCCATTCATCCATCCACCCAGTATCCATCCATTCAGCCATCCACCCATTCATCTATCCATCCATCTATCCATCCATCCATCCATCCACTCAGCTATTCATCCATCCATCCATCCATCCATTCATCCATCCACCCAGTATCCATCCATTCAGCCATCCACCCATCTGTCCATCCATCCATCCATCTATTCATCCGTCTAGTTATCATCAGTATGGATTCATGGATTTCTATTTTCTTCATCAGGTTATAATCCATTACTGTCCTCGTATAGTTTGATGTTCAAATTGCCCCAGATTTGGCCAGTGAAAGCCCCCTTTAAGCTGGCTCCAGTGACTATATTTTAAATGTTTTTTTAAACTAAGTTGAGTATTAAATAAATAGTTCTATTAATAAATAATAAGGCAAATTTTATAATTAGGATGACTCAGATTTTAGGGCGAAATTAGTGTCCCTGAAGGCATGAAGGAGGCTGAGAAGCAGTTTCTGTCTCCCTAGTTGGCTTCCCTGACCTCTGTGCTATCAGAGAGCTTAGGATCTGACATCTGCCTCATAATCTTACCCTGGATCTTCTGTCTGTGGAAGAATTGCAGCAGACATGGTCATTTTGCAGTTAGGACTGGGCAGCAGCAAAGTCAGACTCGAGGCGCCTAGACCTGAGTTTGGAGCACTGTTAGCGGAATCCAGAGAGCTCAGCCTTCCTGAGCCCTGAAGAGACCACAGAGGTGGCCTAGTGGGTGCCGCATGCAGCCTGGCTGACAGTAAGAAGGAGAATGGGAAAAACCACTACCTCCTTGCTTTGCAAAGCAGGAAGAATCACTATTGTTACTTCTCTCTGCTTTAGGTTGGCTCCCATCATCTGAGACTCCACAGAGGCCTGGAAGCCAACGCCCCTGCTTTCGACAGGTAGGGATTGTCTGACACCATCCGAGCCTGTCATTGTCATCCTTAGACGTCATCCTCCCATCAGACACAAGGGATAGGGTGCGACGGGAAAGAGAGGACCCTGAACCCTGAATCTAAATCTGCTTTCTTTTTGGTCCTTTATGCAAGAAGGGAGATTACAAAATGGGATTTTTACTTGTTCTCAGGTTTCCTGAAGGTAAATTAATGAATGTTCAGGTGGCACTTTATAATTATTTTATCTTATCAGTTTCTTGCAATGAGGCTTCATCTCTATGCCCTGGTTAATAAGGGATAATCTAAATTATAGGATATTTGAAGCTGTTTGTTTTTTGTTTTAAAATAATATAGAATAAATAAGTATAGAAAAGTATAAATTGAAAAATAAAAGTACCTTAACTCCCAGTTACCACTCTCAGAGATTTTATATTAGTAGTTTTTTACATGTCATTCTAGAAAACAATTTTGGCATTATATATGTATTTAAATACACAAATTGGATCATAACACATGACTGTTTTGCAGCTTGCTTAAGAAAAGCTGAGCTATTCGTAATATGTATTTGAAATAATAGCTTCTTAAAAGATTTGCTTATTTAGGCCGGGCGCGGTGGCTCAAGCCTGTAATCCCAGCACTTTGGGAGGCCGAGACAGGCGGATCACGAGGTCAGGAGATCGAGACCATCCTGTCTAACATGGTGAAACCCCGTCTCTACTAAAAAATACAAAAAACTAGCCGGGCGCGTTGGCGGGCACCTGTAGTCCCGGCTACTCGGGAGGCTGAGGCAGGAGAATGGCGTAAACCCGGGAGGCGGAGCTTGCAGTGAGCTGAGATCCGGCCACTGCACTCCAGCCTGGGCGACAGAGCGAGACTCTGTCTCAAAAAAAAAAAAAAAAAAAAGAAAAAAAATTTGCTTATTTAATCTAAGTACTCAATATTTTAAAATTGTCTTAGTGAATATAGTAAAAATTCTCGAAAGTAATGTTTTAAGTGTTTGGCTCATTCTACCTGAAGCATTGAGACTTTAAGTTTGCTTTCATACTCTCGTTAAACATAATGCTGGTCGCATGAGCCCAGATGTGACCCCCTGATTAGCATGTTACATATAATGGGCTTTTTCTGTAAAGAGATATTTAATCAAGTATAGACAAGACCGTTGCCTTTTCCAGAACATTTTTAGTATGTCCTAAGCATTCTACATATGGAGTTCTTTCAGTTGACATTCATCTATACTAAATTATCTTAGGAAATAGTGAACATGAAACTGAAAATGAAATTCTACCTGGCTGAACTTGGTGGCTCAGATTTTAGGGGGTCGCCTGGGTGACAAAGTGAGACTCCATCTCAAAACAAAACATACGAACAAAAAACAAAAATTCTACCTGAAGCTGACACAAAACAAGAGGGAAGGGTCATGCTGGGTTCACTTCAAAAACCCTCCTATGTTTAGGAGCTTTCTTAAAATATACATAGATCTAGTTGAAGCACATTTGCATAGACTGTAGATTTTTCAGAATCCTCGTAATGCATGGTGTGTGAGATGCACGTACCACAGAGAATGAGACCCCTGTCTTCTCACAAGCACCCCAGAGGCTGCCTTGCCCCTTGGAAAGCATTCCTAAATCTAGGGGTACACTTAGATCTCTTCTGCAAATTACAGGACAAGCTGCTGAAAGGGTGAGTCTTTCTACAGGCAGCTACTGTGTCCAGGAAGTCTCTTCTGTAATGCTTCTTACCCACGACGCTGAACTGGAGGCAGGAGCCCTCCCATTCCCTTGCAGGAGCTGCTGCTTTCATGTTCATTGCTGACTATGTTCCCCTCATTTGAGATGACATTTGGAAATAAGGTGACGTGTCTGCCTAGTGGCCGCGGTGGGGCACCGTGAGGGTCCCCCTGACAGCAGACTGCCCAGGTCCCCGATGATGTCCCTGGACTGGCATGTGCGTTGTCCTGGGTGCTTCCCAATTCTCTTCTCTGGGACATCACTGTGCCCTCAAGAGTCGTGCGGTTCTCTGATGGATTTCATCGAGAGTAAAGCCTTTCATTTTCCTGTAAAACCTTCACATAGATAGTTTTTCTCCCCGGAGGATGCTTGTTTTCCTTTGCCTGAGCTGCATGGGTGCCCCTGTTAGCCGAGGCTGTCTCTTGCCACTTTGCTCTACGTGCTCCATATCTGAGGAGGGCTGTTGGCAGCAGGCCTTTGGCTGCAGCAGGGTCTTGTCATCTCTGTGTGGTGATGAGTCTCTGTGGAAGGGTTAACCTTTCACGGGGCAGTGCCTGAGTCTCCACTCGCAGGAAAGTGAAGCCCTTCTCCTTCCCCGCCCCACTCTGCGGGCAGCTGCTGTGCACATCAGGGTGTGCTGAACTCTTGGTCCCTCCCTGAAGATGAGAAGGATGCTTCCAAATGGAAATCTGATTCCTTAGTGTCCCGAAAAACTCCTGTTTTCCAAGTAGCTTCCCATGACAGTAACCCATGGGCAGGGGAAGTGAAAAAAAAAGGCCTCAGTGCTCAGGGTGACCCAGGAAGAAGCCTGCATGCTGCCGACCTTGCTGCCGGTGCCAGCGCTCCCTTATCCCCTGGGTGCCAGCGCTCCCTTATCCCCTGGGTGCCAGCACTCCCTTACGCCCTGGGTGCCAGGTGCCAGCACTCCCTTACGCCCTGGGTGCCAGAGCTCCCTTATCCCCTGGGTGCCAGCGTTCCCTTATCCCCTGGGTGCCAGCGTTCCCTTATCCCCTGGGTGCCAGCGCTCCCTTATGCCCTGGGTCAGCGGGGCCTCTCAGCTCATCAATAACGAGTATTTTACAATAAAGGAAAGAAGAACCAGCTCCCACACACCAAGCACTGTCTTTGTCACTTTCACTAGTCTTTTTAGTCCTCCTAGCCATTCTCTGCAGGAGGGGAAGTAGCCCTGCTCTGTAGTTGAAGGAGCCAGCTCAGAGGGGATGAATCATTTGATCAGGGGAGTCTGGGGTTGGTGACAGCATAGAGTAATGATGAGGAATAGTGAGTAATAATGAGTAACAGCAGTTCCTCTGGCCCTGGGCTTTGGAACCAATTGAGAAGAAGGGGCAGGAATGAGACAGGCAGCGATCAGAAATGGGCCTTGTTTCTGAGGAGCCACATTGTGGGATGTGGCTTGGATGTGTGGCCAAGGTGGGCTCCCTCACCAGGGGCAGAGCCTGCACATGTCAGAGCCAGGCCTGGGATGCAGCTTCTCTGGGCAGACTGACCCGAAAGAAAGTCCACAAGGGCTGAGCCACACACAGCCCCGCCCCAGGGCCGCCTGGAACTCCACATGGAGACGGGAGCCCGGGAGGGTGCTCACCCTTAACTTAGGCCAGCGAATCATCAGGCGAGCCTAACTTCAAACCACCCACTTCAAAATCCATATTCTTTCCACTACTGTCCCTTAAAGTTAGTAAAAGAATGTTTTCTCTTATCGGGTAAGGAAAAAAAATGATTTTTTTCATGATCATTATTAGCTCTTTAAAAAATTCCACTCATAAACATGTCATTATAGAAATTTGGGAAAGAGAAAGATGTTTAAAGGAGAAAAGAACAGAAATCATATAAAATTCCACCATTTGTGACATCATGTGTTTTCTTCCAGTGTTTTTTCTATATTTAGGCCTAAAGATTGCACCATTAAATAATAATTTGATGTCTGCTTTTTGTATTGTATCATTTCCCTGTGTTTTGTTTAAGGCACTACATTTCAACATGTTTACACTTGAAATGTAAGGTTACTTTAAAAAAGCTGGTGATCATGGATAAATATTGGAATCTCCCCCTAATATTCCAACATACATATTTAGAAAGTAGCTTCTAATACAAGGAATATTTCCCAAAGCCTGCAAGTTGTTTTATCTCCTTGTTGTGGTTTAGCATAATGAAATACAGCACTTAGATTGAAAACAGGATGCTGAGTTGAGAGCTCTCCTGCCAGTTGTTCTAGTTTTGAGAAAGATGGGTACCAAGCAAGATAAGAAATTCATTTCACACATGTGCACATCGCCTGTGTAAGACTCTAGGCCAGGCGCAGTGGCTCATGCCTATAATCCCAACACTTTGGGAGGCTGAGGTGGGAAGATTGCTTGCAGCCAGGAGTTCGAGACCAGCCTGAGCAACATAGCAAGACCCTGTCTCTATGAAAAATAAATAAGTAAAAATTAGCCAGATGTGGTGGCATGCACCTATAGTCCCTACTACTTGAGAGGCTGAGGTGGGAGGATTGCTTGAGCCCAGGAGTTTGAGGCAGCAGTGAACTATGATCATGCCACTGCACTTTAGCCTGGACAACAGACTGAGATCCTACCTCAGAAACAAAACTCTGTTGATGGAAGGTCAGGATAGATGTTCTAGATTTAATGGGAGATACTTTATAGAAAGACCAGCATACCCTTTGTCTTATTCCAAACTCATGTAGAAGTCTACACTAGCTAGTCATAATGGCAGCTGGGAGGGACAGGTTCTCTCCACCCAGGCTCATTTCCCACGCTTTGGGTCATGGGGACTAGCTGGTCCTGGACTCTGGCACTAAAAGCATGACTCCTTCTGCCCCATCTTCCCTTGAGGGGCAGAACAGGGCAGAGTTGGCACCTGTGCTTGTGCCCAGCATCACGCCCACCCCACTGACTTTGCAGGCACATGGTGCTTCTGAAGGAGCAGTACGGGCAGCAGGTGGTCGTGAACCTTCTGGGAAGCAGAGGCGGAGAGGAGGTGCTCAACAGAGCCTTCAAGGTAAGACCTGGTTGTGCCCTCCACGGCTGGGCTGGGCGGCGGGTGGCCATGGTGGAGCCTTGAGCCTGGAGGTGGCTCCTGCAGGGACTGGAGCTGAAGCCCAACCCTTCTTCATTTCCTGAGGCTTCCCCAGTGTTCCGACCAGGGAACACGGCAGTGCTCGGTGACTCGGGCCCTGATACAGTTTGAGTGTAATGTCTTTTTTTTTTTTTTTAAGACAGAGTTTCACTCTTGTTGCCCAGGCTGGAGTGCAGTGGCGCAATCTCAGCTCACTGCAACCTCCGCCTCCCAGGTCCAAGTGATTCTCCTGCCTCGGCCTCCTGAGCAGCTGGGATTACAGGCGCCTGCCATCACACCAGGCTAATTTTTGTATTTTTAGTAGAGACGGGGTTTTACCATGTTGGTCAGGCTGGTCAAGAACTTCTAACCTCAGGTGATCCACCCGCCTCAGCCTCCCAAAGTACTGGGATTACAGGCGTGAGCCACTGCGCCCGGCCCAGTGAGTGTAATTTCTGTGAGCTGATGATTGGGAGAATTTGCTCAGTCAAAACAGAGCATTTCCTGTCCCCAGCCATGTGTCCCTTACCCTCCCCGTGGGGCTTTGAGGGCTTCTGACCTCTCAAGGAGTCCCTCTCAGTCCAGCTCAGGAGCAGGCAGACCTCCTCTTCTGCCCTGGCTGGTCCTGGATGAGCTCCCCCAGCCCTACAGGGCACCTGACCTCAGGGCTCAGGAGCAGGAGCCTCTTGGCTTTCCCCTGCTTGCCCGCTGGCCTTCAAGTTTCCCCTTCGTCCTTGGACCTGCTCCTGCTGGGCTCCCGTGGACTCCTTCAGGGTTCCCTGGGGGCCTTTCCTGGTGAACCTGGACAGAGATCCTGGGCAGGGTCACAGAGCCATGGGAGCAAGAGACTCCGCCCACCTGGCCAGGGTCTATCCCTGTGCATGGATCCCAGGCCTCCAGCCCCTGCCCCCTGATCCCCAGGCGAAAGACGTTCTAGAATGAACCATGGAGGTTTCTGGTTCCTTTACCAGCCTCCATGTCCCCTGCCTCATACAGGAAAACTCTCGTTGTTTAAAGCTCAAGAATATCCCTTACAGAGAGAGCTCGAAGTCACCTCACTGGGGGTGAGGGCGATCTCTGAGCCTTTCCCTCTGCTTAGAAATGCCACATGCTCATGCTCAGAGCAGGCACTTCCTGGTTGCCAATTTTATTTGGCCAGACCTGCTTTTCCTGTTTGGTTTGTTGCTATTAGCAACAAGCTCCAGAAGTGTCTCCCTTCCCACCCATCTTGGCAGTGATGCTGGCTGCTAATTTGAAGGAAGAAGGAAAAAAAAAAAGAAAGCCAAAAAATAAGAATAATAATAAGAACCCCAAGTCTTTTCCCCCTATGCCTTGAGTTGTGGCCCCTCCCATCAGTGGGTGAAGTGCCCGGTACTGGTGACGGCGGGAGATGGCAGCCACCTCATACGGGGAAGGGTGGGCTCCTGGCCAGGTAGGGAGGGGTACTCTAGCTGGAGACCTGGGTCATGGCCCTGCCTGGGATGGTCCTCAGCCACATCAGTTAGGCCCAGACCAAGGTTGGCGGCCCAGCAGCCTGCCCAGGGCCCAGTGGCCATCGGTCCTGCTGGATGAAGCACTGGCTCCAGAATGCATGGCACTGAGCCACCAGGCACTGTTGGGCTCCTCCAGCTTCTTGCACACAGCGAGACTTGCTTGACGATGGCAGCATTGCATTGATTTATGCTCAGGCCTATCACAGGTGGTCACATTGAGTCAGACCAGAGGACCCCCAAGTCCTTCTAGTCCTTCCAAGTCACTAGGACCTCTGGCTGGGCAGAGGCTGGACTGGCCTGACCTGAAGCCGCAAGGGCATGGGTACAGGGTGTGAGAGGCCTGGAAGCCAGGTGGCCTGGGTAGGCGGACAGTTTGTCCTTTATCACGGGGCTCTCTGGGGAGAAAGCCAGGGAGCTGCCAGGCCAGGGAAGCCTCATATGGAAGGGAGGGCTCTTAAGGACATCGTGGTGTCATCAGCAGCCCCTTGCCCTGCTTCCCATCTGTCCCCACCTTCACTCTGGCTCCCTGACCATTCTGAAATAGCATTGGGATGTGGGACCCACCTAGGCCACTTCAGCTGGAGACTTGGTGTCTTCAGAGCACAGCCACCAGAGGCTGGTATGCAGCAGGCTGGGGCCAGTTACCAGGGCAACGGGGAGCTGGATTATGAGCTCTGCAGCCTGCTGCAGCCCTGCTATCTCTGAGGGCCTGGGCCACCTGGGCCACCTGAAGAACAGAGCAGTCCTTCCTCACCTGTGCCATCCGGGGAGCCCTGCAGCAGTATGATCTCCCCAGGGGACCACACCTGCTCTGGCTTCTTTTGTCCAAGGGGAACCTTCTGCCCTTTCGCAGGCAAGATGCTCTGTGTGGGTTTTGTCCCCCCAGGACCTTTGTCCTGTGCTTCCCTTTCAGGGTTAACTGCCTGGTCCATTGTGAGCTTCCAGCTAAAGCATGTCCTGCGGCAAGTGCTATGCAAGGAACTTGTCCTCCTTGTCCTTCCTTCCCTCTGCTCCCCTCACCGCCCTCCCCTCCTCTTTTCAGAAGCTGCTCTGGGCTTCTTGCCACGCAGGCGACACGCCTATGATCAATTTTGACTTCCATCAGTTTGCCAAAGGCGGGAAGCTAGAGAAATTGGAGACCCTCTTGAGGCCACAGTTAAAGCTGCACTGGGAGGACTTTGATGTGTTCACGAAGGGGGAGAACGTCAGTCCACGGTGAGGCTCGCTGCACACTGCACCACGTCTTCTGCTGGGGGGGAAGCGTCAGTCCACAGTGAGGCTCGCTGCGCGCCGCGCCTTCTGCTGGGTGAGGTGGCAGAGGGGCTGCACCATAGAGGACATGTGCCCTGTGAGGGGCGGCTTCCTTCCCTCCCCACTCAGCTACCCTTGCGGTTTCCTGGGTCATAAGCTTGGCGACATTGGGAATTTTGGGTTCCAGCTTCTCCGCTCCCTTCCCACAATAGGAGACAGGCTTTTGCATTTCTCAAGGAGATGTTGAGGCATGGTTTTCTGTCAAAAGAAATGAACTTATAAAGGGGAGTGCATTTAACCATGGAGCTCCACGCTGGGACGCAGGCCTGTGAGAGTGAGGGCCACAGTCCCAGTGGGATGGCTGGCATAAACTTAGATTGCTCAAGGAGACCAGGGTATGGACTGCCCTGTTCAGAACAGAGGAGGAAAACGAAGTCCAGTTCCCTCAGGTCACATGCAGGGGGTCCTCATTATTTGCAGATTCCATATTGGCTAATTTACCTATTCCTTAAAACTTATTTGTAACCCCAAAATCAGTACTCAAAGCATTTTTCCTGGACATTCAGAGATGTGTGCAGAGCAGTGACAATTTGAGTCACATGTACATGCTTCCAGCTGAGATCAAACAAGGTGATACTCTGTCTTCTTATTTCAGCCCTCGTATGTAAACAAGTGTCCTTTTTGAGATTTAGTACTGTTTTTCACATTTGTGGGGTCTTTGTTAGGGGCCCCTCTTTGTTCGGGGATCTCATGGTTTAGTATGGCCCCAAGCGTTGTGCTGAAGAACTGTCTAGTACTTCTGAGCACAAGAAGGTGGTGGTGTGCTTTATGGAGAAAATGCACATTAAGATAAGCTTTGTCCCGATATGAGTTACAATGCTGTCGGCCATGGTTCAGTGTTAATTAAACAAATATATATATTCAATAAGGTGTCTTTATATGGAAACATACATAAAACAAGTTTGTATATTGATCAGTTGATGAAAATGTGACCAGAGATTTGCAGGAACCTAACCCTATATTTCCCCTAGGACCGATGGTTCTGTGTTCATGTCCAATTCAGTGTTCCTACAACTTTATAGAACATAATTGCTATAAATAACAAGGACCAGCTAAACTTAAAATGACCCAGTTGTGCAGGCTGCTGAGTGTGTGTCCTGGGGTCTGCCTGCCTTTCCAGCAATGCTGGGGATCCACTGGGATGGACACTGGGGTTTCTGGGGGGCTACTGGTGAGGAGGTGGGGGTTCTTAGAACATGTTTCCTCACGCCTGTAATCCCAGCACTTTGGAAGGCCGAGGCATGCAGATCACAAGGTCAGGAGTTTGAGACCAGCCTGGCCAATGTTGTGAAACACTGTCTTTACTAAAAATACAAAAATTAGCCGGGTGTGATGGCACGCGCCTATAGTCCCAGCTACTCGGAAGGCTGAAGCAGGAGTATTGCTTGAACCGGGGAGGCAGAGGTTGCAGTGAGCCAAGATCGTGCCATTGCACTCCAGCTTGGGTGACAGAGTGAGACTCTGTCTCAAAATAAAAAGAACATGTTTCCTTGGGAGTCGACAGTTAGACATGGGCCACAGTGCTATGGCCACTGCTTCTTTGAACACAACTTATAACTTTACATTTCTTCTTGTCCTAAGTTTTCAGAAAGGCACTTTGCGGATGAACTGTCTTGACTGCCTGGACCGAACCAACACTGTGCAGAGCTTCATTGCGCTCGAGGTGCGTCCCTGCTGCAGCCTTCTCGGCCATCTGTGCCAGGTCCTATGACTTAAGCTGGACAGGCTGAGCTGAGCACCTTTAGCGGCAAGATGAGGGTGGCATCACCGAGACAACTTTCTAACTGTGGGGAAGGTGGACAGGGGGACACTGGGACATCCAGAGAGGGGTTCCCCAGGTGGCTGCTTTCTCTGTCATAGGCACGCTTTCTCACAGCCTCTTGTGAAATGCATCCCAGACATGGTGGCCCAAAGGCTCGCAGGAAAGAGCAGTTGTGTAATGATTATTGTGAATGCACCATTGGCCCAAGGCAGTGTGAGGCTGGCCGGATGAGGCTGGATTTGAAGCTGGGGAGGGAGTCTTGGGTCTGCATGGCCGCAGCTGTCTGGCTGACCTCTCCTGGCTGGGGGGTTAGGGGCGGGATCAGTGCCCCTTGCTGTCCACCACTGTTTGCTCTTCAGCCTCTGGCTGTGTAGCAGGGAGGTCAGGTGTCAGGGGGTGAGAGGAGGGCTTGGGTGGACCCTATAGATAAAGTTGGGGTGAGGTATGGGAAGTCACTGTCTGCTGTAGGAACTCGTCATCCTCTGGAGGGGCACAGGGTCTTCCAGGACACAGCGTAATCCACAGGCTGCTGAATAAGGAACCTCCTGGGACGGTGGCTGTGGGGCCTCTGTGGGAGAAGCCAGTGACAGCCATTCCTGATTCCTCCCCAGGTCCTGCATCTGCAGCTCGAGACCCTGGGGCTGAGTTCAAAACCCATTGTTGACCGCTTTGTGGAGTCCTTCAAAGCCATGTGGTCTCTGAACGGCCACAGCCTGAGCAAGGTGTTCACAGGCAGCAGGTCCCTGGAAGGGAAGGCCAAGGTAGGGCCCCGCCAAGGGGGCAGGGTGGGGGCCCCAGGGACCCCCCTCACGGCCTGCGGTCTGGGCTCTTGGCAGGTGGGGAAGCTGAAGGATGGAGCCCGGTCCATGTCTCGAACCATCCAGTCCAACTTCTTCGACGGGGTGAAGCAGGAGGCCATCAAGCTGCTGCTGGTTGGGGACGTCTACGGCGAGGAGATGGCAGACAAAGGGGGCATGCTGCTGGACAGCACAGCGCTCCTGGGTAGGGCCCGCCACGGACAGGGGGAGGCGGGAAGGCGGGGTGCTCCCCGGCCCCACGTTCCCACCGCCTCTGTGCCATCCAGAGAGTGGGTGGCAGACGTGCCTGAGGTCTGAGCAGTGGACCATGCACCTTACAGCTGTCACTGCCTCTCCCGGCAGCCTGTGCTTTCCAGCTAGGCCTGGGAGCTCACGCTTCCTCTGTCTTGGCTTGGACTGTGTTTCCATCCTGAGAAGCGGGAGACAGGCGGGCTCAGCGAGAGGCCGTGCACTCTCCTAAACGCATCAGTGCCTTTGAACGCTCACCCACTCCAGAAACTTCCTCAGCTGCTTGGGTGCTTGGGCCTTTAGCAGGTGATGTTGGCCTTGGGAGCTTCCCATGAAGTTGGCCTCCAGTTTCTGTTTTGGACCCTGTAGAAACAGAGGAGGAGGATGCTGTAATCTCCCAGGGATGAGGGCACCTTCGGGTCTCAGCAGCAACACAGCGTGGTTCCATCAATATAGGAGGTTCCTTTGAGAGCATTTTAATGACATCTTCTTACCTGAGCCTGTAAACATATTAGGTCTCATGGAAAAAGGAGGAGAAACCCAGCATTTTTCCTAATAAGAATGTACAAGTGTCGCTTTCAAAACGTCAGGTGTTTTTGAAAAATGAACTAGCCCATGCTTAAAATGGGTTCATGGCCCTTTTCCACTCTCACTCTTTCTTCACTGGGGGAGCTCTTATTTGGCTTCCGATAGGCCAGGCGACATTTATGCCACCTCTATAAAAGGTGAACGAAGCTCCATGTTGTACAGTGAGTCTTATTTAATAGCAAGGCAGACATGAGTTAGATTTGGGTTACGTCACAAGTTTAAACGATGGAATATATTTTGGCTATTGAGAGGATGGTGATGGTTCTGTGTAGTGACTTTTTAAAGCCTTAAGTCTGGGGCAAAACAAAACATATCAGACATGCAGGCTGGAAGGCAGAGGATGCAAAGGTGGCTGTCTGGGTTGGTAAGACACTTAAAGGTATAGTGGATATGGGCACATCCACCTTGAAATATGGTCAGTTACAGCATGCCCTGGCTTAAATTCCTATGCCTTGTTCTTCCACGGAGTGGACAGTGGGGACATGGCTTTTCCCTGTCGTGTCTGAGATCCCTGTGATCTGATGTCCCATGGCTTCTGGCTTCAGTTGGGGGCAGGGGTGTAGACGGTGAGTTTCCAGTCTCATGTTTTCACGCCTTCATTGCGGAAATGCCATAGGGGAAGCACCGTGGCGACCATGGTTTTAAACCTTTTGTCGTCTTCCTAAGGAGCATACCCTGGTTTATCTCTAGAGGCTCATGAACCATCTGTCTCTGCCAGGCAGCCTCTTCTTTTTGGAGGATGCCTGAGCTTTGGAACTGCAAAGAAATGTGCCTTTTTATGCCTCCTGACAGTGACTCCCAGGATCCTGAAAGCTATGACTGAGCGTCAGTCTGAATTCACAAATTTCAAGCGGATCCGGATTGCCATGGGGACCTGGAACGTGAACGGAGGAAAGCAGTTCCGGAGCAACCTGCTCGGGACGGCGGAGCTGACCGACTGGCTGCTCGACTCGCCCCAGCTCTCGGGCGCTGCCGAATCCCAGGGTGAGAGCAGTGGCTCTGGGGGAGACAAAAGCCAATTCCACCTCACCTGACATGTCAGGCTTGACCCTTTAGTGGCCATCGTCTTGTGGAATTTCGTCTTTGTGTTTTCCCTCCTCACAGTGTTTAAATAGCACCGTGGTCTGACTGTCAAGAATGCTGCCTCACAAGTAACTTTGACTTTTTTCCTTTCCCGAATGTTTAGAAGAGTTAGCAGATGGTGAATCTCTCTTTTCTCTTTGCATACAGTGATGGTGAAGTCTTAGGCTTTCATGAGTAGAATCTTTTTGTTACCAGGCTGAAGGTGTGGCTTCTAGAGCCATGTAACTGTGAGGACGGGAGCTGGGCCTGTCTTCAGTGTTTTGTTTTTGTTTGTTTTTGTTTTTTGTTTTTAGATGAGTTTCACTCTCATCACCCAGGCTGGAGTGCAGTGACAGTCTTGGCTCGCTGCAATCTCCGCCTCCCAGATTCAAGCAATTACCCTGCCTCAGCCTCCTGAGTAGCTGGGATTACAGGCGCCCACCACCATGCCCTTCTAATTTTTGTATTTTTAGTAGAGACGGGGTTTTGCCATGTTGGCCAAGCTGGTCTCGAACTCCTGACCTCAGATGATCCCTCTGCCACAGCCTCCCAAAGTGCTGGGATTACAGGTGTGCGCCACTGCGCCTGGCCCTGCCTTTAGTGTTGATATTGACCAAGAACGGCTCATCCCTGCCTCTCCCCAAACCAACTCTATTCATCTGCTTTAAGTAGTCACAAAATAATCCATGCGCTATTTAGGAATAAAATAATTCCAAATGTTGACACCTCACCTTTTATCTTGTAAGATACGCTATTGAATGGCCCCAGAACTTAGGATCTGAAGAATAAGTGATTCTTGTACAGTCAGCGCTGACTCAGGGGCCTTGCTTTTTTTTTTTTTTTTTGCTTCCTTGGACTCACGAAGACACTTGTGTTTCAGGTTTTTGCCTGTTGGTGAGTGACCTGTGGTCTAGCTGACATGTGGTGGCCCATGTGTACATTCATGCCCCACAGCTGCCTAGGTGGTGCCCAGAGCCCCGTCCCTTCTTCTGCACACGCCATCTGTGCCCTCCTTTCTGCCTCAGAGGGCAGGTGGCAGAGTCCACCATTCAGAGCCACTGGGGCTCTCTGTGTCGGTGGTAGCCTGAGTTGCTGCTTGTGCCTCCAGAAGCCATTCAGGATACGTTCTGGAGCAGGCCCATCAACGCAGAGGGTGCTTAGCACCGCCGTGGCTCAAGAGCCGTCCCTCCTCTCCCCACTGAAGTGACTCCTCCTCTTTTCCCTGCAGGAAAGTGTGCGTGTTGTTAGCAAGCTGGCCGGTGTTTTGCAGGGGATCTTTTTGGGGAAGACACTAGAAGGCTCCCCAGCAGTCCCACTAGAGATGCACCAGCTTCCAGAGAAGGAAAGGAAAGT